TGCTCCTTTGGAAGCTTGAAAGCTCCAGTTCCCGTTGTTCTTGAATGGGACAGATCAACCAGTATGTTAAAGAAATCTCCTTTTGTGTTCCATCAATGAAAGAACATTTGAAAACCACATGAGGGTGTGTAAATGATACATAATCTTCGTTTTTGGGTGAACTGTCCCTTTAACCTCCAAGCAGGATTTGTAATGCTAAATCTAGTCACATTAATTTAGAATAGGACCTGTTGAAATTCCCTTATCACACACTTTTATCAGGACAAGACTCGCTGTGCTGAAACGTTCTCAAAAGTAGGATACAGCCCTCCAGGAAAGGTCTGTTATACCCTACTTGAGATTTTGGCTTACTTGAGCATGGCTTCAATCCTAGGTCCTGTGGGTGGTTATTTTTTTTATCATGTCCAGAACGTTCTGCTGCATCCTCGTTCATTCTCTCCAGACTTTGTGTCCTGAGGCACAGGTTGGGAAATCTGTGGTAGACTTGAGAACAAAACACAATGTGCAGTGAACAGAAACTGTAATCAAACAAAATACTCACACAGACATATAAAGACTGAAGTGTGAGAACTGGAAGGCCTTGGTTGGACTCTGTCCACTTCTCTTAAAGTGACCACTTAGCTGGAATGATCAGCAAAAAGCTCTCAGTTTGAGTCGTGTGAAAGTCTGGCATTGGCAGTTACTAAATCAAAAGCAAGAAACACAAACTCATCTGGTTGTTTTCTACATTAACAGACTTGCCTCTCCCATGGAGCACAGCTGCACTATAAATCTATTTTTAGTCCTGTGTTCAGAAGTGTCATTCCCCCTCTCAATGTGGAGTGGATTTTTTTTAATGTAATTTTCAATTCTTGATAATTTTTTAATATTTAATATTGTAATGCTGCTTGAAATTTTATACTTTTTCTGATATAACAAAAATAATTATTAAAAGAATATCACAGCTAAAATGCAAACTGATCAATTCAGATCTGCTGTTTATTTAAAAAAAAAAAGTAAAAAGTATGTTTGTTTTTTTTATTCGAAATGAGATAACTTTGCACTCTAAATGAAATGTTTTAATATTATAATATTAGTGAAGACTTTAATAATTTAACTTTAAATGTAGCAAATCTACAGTACACTCTAAAAAATGCTGGGTTGTTTCAACCCAAATTTGGGTAAAATATGGACAAACCCAAATGTTGGGTTAAAAATGTAATTCAAAAAATTACATTTGAAAGTGAAAGTTGAAGTTGGGTTAAAATTTTAAATTACATTTTTAACCCAACGTTTGGGTTTTTCCATATTTTACCCAAATTTGGGTTGAAACAACCCAGCGTTGTTTATCGTGTAATATCTGTTTTGTAGCTGTTTTTATTATTATTATTATTACAAACAATTAAAAAAATATATTTAGAGATATAGATATATATTTTGCCTTTGCAAAGTAGTTTACACTCTAAGCAATGCTGGGTTGTTTTAACCCAAATTTGGGTAAAATATGGACAAACCCAAATGTTGGGTTATAAATGTAATTCAGAATTTTAACCCAACTTCAACTTTCACTTTCAACTGTACATTTTTTTAATTACATTTTTTAACCCAACATTTGGGTTTGTCCATATTTGACCCAGATTTGGGTTGAAACAACCCAGTATTTTGTATAGAGTGTATATCCCTAAGGATTCAAAGAAACATCCATTTGTTTTTTTTATGCGTTGCCACCATTACTGTCCGAGCTCTCAAAATGCACATCATGTCAAACGAAATGTCAAAACTCGACTACTCCTCCTCATCTTTCACTGACTCCTCCTGCCAGCACCTTCCAGACCCCTGGCATCCGGCCAGCTTTGACTCGTGGTCTGGAACAGAGCGTCTCCTGTTCTCCCTCTGCTTCTGCTAAAGTCTGCTATCATCGGAGGAGAGAGGCTGGAATCCTGCTTTGAAGTTTTATTGAGCGGATAACTCCAGGCTATTGCTGATCCATTGAGTTGTCTCCAAAAGAGCCAGAGCCACCACTGAGACGTATAATACTGACATTGTTCAGGAGCTCTTAAAGACGCCTTCAATTCAGATGGCAATGCAACAAGCCTCAGCACCTCTACCTGAGCCAGGTCTGCCTTTAAATGAACACGTGGAAGATGAATGAGATGTTGGACAGGTGTAGTGTTGTCTAGTGATTTGAGTGTGTTGGACACAGAAGGCTTTTTTTAGTCTGCGTTTGGTTGGAAGCGCTGGCACTACGGCTGCAGTTAACAGCAGGGATTGTTTGGGCAGTCTTCCATGTCACAGCATCTTTGTTTTAATTGGCTCTCTGATGATCATCCCGGCGTCACATCATCAACACTGAGAAACTTCCCAGAGAGAGACCGAAATAGCTCATGAAAGTTCTCTCTCATAGAAAGTTTTCACTTCTAATCTGTCTCTCTTATTACAGAGAGATTTTAGATTTATTTGGAAAAACACATGCATTTAATGATGCTATTTGTTTTTGTTTTAAAACATGACGTAATCATATATCAAGAATTGGCAATCTTTTGCATTGATTTTGCTGGCAATATTTAAATTAAGCAACTTTTATTTTTTATTACAGATATAAAAGTGATTGTTGTATTTCAATTAAAAATTTGTCAAATTATATTAATTTTGAAGACTTTGTTCATAGTGGTGGACAGTTACAAAGTATATTTATTGCGTAGTCCTGTAACAATATTAAGGCTCAGAGGAGAAGGTGGGAAAACAGTATGGAAATCATATCTTGATTTTAAGTAGCTTTTGACTGTATTTTACTTCTTGCCGTTAAACATTTTAAAACTTGTTTACTGGTGATGTTTGTAAATGATGGTTCCCTTGATGAAAAATATTGTCATTTCAAAACAAACACATATATTGAGATATAAATTAAGCATTGTGTTAAAAATACACTACCATTCAAATACTTTGAGGTTGTTACTTAAAAAAAATTAAAATAAGTATTTTTATGCTCACCAAGGCTGCATTTATTTGATAAAAAAGTACAGTAAAAAAATTATCTTGTGGAATTATTATTACAATTTAAAAGAAGTTTTCTATTTAATTGTCTTTATTCCTATGATATCAAAGCTGAATTCACTATTATTCAAGTCTTCAGTGTCACATGATCCTTCAGAAATCATTCTAATATCTTGATTTGGTGCTCAAGAAACATTTCAGTCTTGAAAATTGTAAAACAAAAAAATAAATAAATCAGGATTTTTTTTTGATAAATAGGAAGTACAAGGAACAGCATTTATTTACAATAGAAATATTTTGTAAAAGATTAGACTGTCACTTTTAAACAATTAAATGAACCGTTCCTTTCGAGCTTTTGAACATTAGTGTTTGTAGATATAATTTTTGGCTATATCGCCCAGCCCCAGTGTGTCTTTGTCAGTCTGACTCCTGCTGTGCTTAATATTCGTCTGGATCTGTGGAATGCGAGACATAGACGCTTACATACTCCCCCTCAGTTAATCCATATCTGTGCCACAATAGCATTGATCCCTTTCCCGTTCTCTGTCCGTCTCTGTAGAGATATGAATGAGGTTGAGTTTGTTTTTGTCACATTTGTCAGTCACATGGCCTTGCAACCACAATCTAGTGGCTTGCGGTTAATTTTTGCAGCTTTTTGAGCAGATTGCATACTTTAATGATGGATTAGTACTGACATCTATTGCAGAAAGAAAACTCATTTCGACAGCATGTATTTCTCTCACAACTATCACAAGGTCAGGGTTAGTGTCTCTGTCTAAATGTAGGTCCACAGAGGAAGTGAAGTTTCATAGATTTTAAAGAGATTTCTGTGGGGTAGGGTGATATTTAAAACAGGGATTTTCCGGGTGGGAACATCTTGCCCCACTTTCTCTCTCTCTCTCTCTCTCTCTCTGCAGGAGACAAAACATACGTGCCAAACAACCAGTTCCAGTAAGATTAGATCGTCCCATCTGAGGATTCATTAACCATTCCCATCGTGATCTGTATTCAGATTTTAGTGTAATCTTTATGATAATAAGGTCTGAATCACATTGACCTTGTCCTTTATGGGGAAAAAAGTATTATTATTATTTTTATTATTATTAATAGTGATGATATTGCTCATATTGCTGGTTAGGTGTTCTGAAGCAGTTAAAACCAGGGCAACCACCTATAAATATTACATATTTATTTATTATTTAATTGATTATTTTACCTTTTTTTATATAACATTGATAAATAAAATTTAAATGATCAAAAAGTTATGACAACATATGGTTTTACTTTGTTTAAACGTATCAAGGCAAGATTCATCTTATTTGTAAGTCAGTTTAATGTAGTTTAAGTTGAAATGACTTAAAAATTTAAGGTAGCAACTTTTTTACAGTGCTTTTGCTAGAATTTTCACTGCTCAAAATTACTGAAAAATTCAATTGTGAAATCGGGTTAGGACTTCTTTCTTTTTCTCTTTTTCAATAATTACATTTATTTCATGTGTAATTTCTTCAGAAGTGTTTGTTTGAGAAGAATGACTGTGACTTTTTGCCATCCTATAGGTGCCACACACTTGACTTCACGAAAGCTGCATTATGTGTTGATTCCATGCATATCTGACGCATCCGATTAAAAATGCGACAGGAAAAAAATTCTAATCAAATCACCAGATAAATTGGCTTTAAGTTTCAATCGGATTCTCCCTCCAGGTGATTTGGCAGCCGCCCATGTTATGGCTGATGTGCTCTGATTGAATTATTTGATCAACGGGATTTCTGTGGTATTTCAGGATCATAGCTGGATTGAGGAGAAAGAATAACAAAGGAGTGGATGAATGCAAACAAACATTTTTGGACGAGAAAACAGCTGTTTCATCCTCCATGTGTCAGCGGGGGAAGGGCAGGGCTGGGTCACGACGCACTGTGTCAACTGACATGTTTTGATGACCACACACATACACACACACACACACACACACCGTGTCAGCATGTAGCTTTAGTTTCTGAGCTTGGCTTCGGTGTGAGGTCACGCTGAACAGAAAAAGCTTTCAAAGCTGAATTACTGGGTGTTTGGTTTGCTGCTTATTGAGTTGTTGAATTTGCTGGTATGACTGGAATGTCCCTCATTAAAACATGGAGTCGTTTAAGAGGCTCAAATCAGTTCAATTATAGACCTTCTTGAGTCATGATGCTACAAAATTCCATAGCCACTAATGCTTTAAAAATATATGTTGGGCTTTATTTGCATGTATTGGGCAGACTAATAATAAACTATATATATATATATATATATATATATATATATATATATAAGGTTCTCAAACTATTTTATCATACAGATTTTTTTCTGAAACATCTTGACTGCTTAAAGAAAAAAAGATGAAATTCAGCAGGTATTTGGCAAAAAATCTGCAGCTCATATTTTAGGTCGATGTGAGGCTGGTTTTGGGGGAAATGCTTTCCTCTCTGGAATTTAAACAGAGGCATGTGTGTTACATATGTGTGGACTTGTTACAATAATGATGGACTGGAGAGATCTGTACATTGTTAGTCTTGTTAGAGAAATGTTGAACTGTTTGTATTTAAAGGATTAGTTCACCTCAAAATGAAAATTTCTTGATAATTTACTCACCCCAATGCCATCCAAGATGTTCAACAAAGATGTTTAGCAAATTTTCATGTCTTTCTTTCTTCAGTGGAAAATAAAATACGTTTTTTGAGGAAAACATTTTTCAGGATTTTTCTCCACACAAATGGATCAATGCAGTTTCAAAAGGGCTTTGACGTGCTTCAAACGGCTCTGCACGATCCCAGATGAGGAATAGGGTCTTATCTAGCCAAACCGTCGACCATTTTCTAAAAAAAAACAAAAAAAACATTTATATACTTATTAACCACAATTGTTCGTCTTGTGCTGGTCGGCGACTCGCCAGGCATTACGTCATCACGTTGGAAATGTCACAATTTTTTTTTTTTTTAAATAATATAATTATAAATTAAAACAAGATGTCGGATGATTTTGAAGTTGGAGGAGAAACCGGGGAGAAAATGAGATGGAATTTTTCACCCTTCCCTGCCTTTTTTAACCAGAGTACACAGACAAATAACTTAGATGACATGACGCTTGACGTTTCCAGCACAAGACGAACAATTGTGGTTAAAATTTTCATAAATGTTTGTTGTTGTTCATTTTTAATGAACGAAGAACGATCATTTAGCTAGATAAGACCCTATTCCTCAACTGGGAACGTGAAGCCCTTTCAAACTCCATTGATTTGGACTTCAACATGTTGGTTGCACTTGAAGTCCATTGTGTGGAGAAAAATCCTGAAATGTTCTCCTCACAAAATCGTATTTTCTTTCCCACTGAAGAAAGGAAGGTATGAACATCTTGGATGGCATTGGGGTGAGTAAATTATCAGGACATTTTCATTTTGAGGTGAACTAATCCTTTAATATACTATATGAATATATCTTAGCATCTCTGTTTTGCAATAGTGCAGTGAAAAGACGAAATGCAAGAAAATTTCTGATTTTTTTTTTCCTGTTTTCATTCATTTCACATTAAAATACCTCAAATGACAGTGTTGCTCAAATGACAGTGTTGTGTAAATAATCTTAATAAAATAAGTTTTTATGTTAGTAGCAGACGTGAATGCTGTGTCAAACAGTGAAGCAAGAGTTCAGCTATTCAGAAAGTTCATAATCAACCCCTAAAAGTAGCGTTTGGAAATTCCCTGATTGAATTCCTGATGAAGAGATGGTGGAAAGTGGTGGTGAGGATAGACAAGTCTTCTTAAAAGGGTATACAACATTAAAAGCCTGAGATATGATGGTTTTTCTCTCTTATTTTCATTTTCTTCCTCTCCAGTTGGCACTTGGTACTTTAGGATATATCTGAACTCCATCGGCCAACTCTGGAAGTGTGAGCCAGATATGTCAGAGCGAGAGTGGAAAGGTGTTGTAATAAATGCGGTGGTGGAAGACACAGATTGATAGAGGGCAGATATTTATACAGTTGTCCATTGTTCTGGTGCAGAGTGCTGTCTCAACAAAGAGCGTAAGAGGCCGCCACGAGGAACATAATGTTGATACAGAAGCATTAGTGTCAGAGAAAGTGTTGAGAAGTTGTTCTCCCAGTCCACATTACCCTTACAAAAAAGTATAATGTTACTAGCCTGCTGATATACTGTAATGGTATGGTATGCTTTTAATTTCCTAATAGTAGGGTCCAAAAGTCTTGAAAATATGTTTTTTTTTCCCCTTTGCATAAAAATAAGAATATGACAGACTTAAAAATACTGCATACTGAATATTACTTCTTAATTTAATGGTTATAATACAGGTTTGTTGTGAACTAAATTGTTTTAAATGAATATGTAAATCTGATATTACGGTACTTTTTTGTAAGGGTAATGCACCATTTAAAAAAAAGAAGAAGCAGCAGCCATTGTTTGTCCCATGAAATATGACGTTGGGCCCATACTGCACTGCTTTAAACCCCATGTCTCTGTTTACCTCTAGGAGGCGCTTGTTTTCTCCTTTAAGACTGGGGGCCTCCAAACTCTTCCAACTCAATGGGTGAGGACATGAATTGTGCATTGATTGACAGGAAGTTGCTTCCTAGTGCTTGTCCATTCCTATCCTCTCCATTCGTTTCATGCATACATGGTCAAAACCCCACCACATGGATATGTGACCCCTAAACGCAGCGTGTGATTGGTACCAGAGGGTGCAGTGGTAGTCCTAAAGCTTTGAGGTTATTTTTTATATGATAGAGCCTCTATTTTTTCCTTTTTTTGGGGGGGGGGGGGGGGGGGGGGGGGGGGGGTTGGTTTGGGTTTTGGGGCCACTTGGTTAAACAATACGGTGCTATTGCATTTCACTACTGCTTTCCCACATTAAATAAGTGTAGTCCAGTAGAATGATTCATTGGATATTGTTCATTGAATCAGTTTCCTGTCAAGTCTGTTGTCTTTTTCACTATAATAATAATAATTATAAAAAATACTCGCAATGCAGTGTTTGATAAAACTTAAAGAGCTTGTCTTGAGAGCTTGTCAATGACACTTTAGATTTAAAAAAATGTTCCTACACAATTACATGGTACATTTAAGTTTGCTTTGCTTACACTATAAAAAAAAATATTGTTGGTTTAACTTAAAAAAAGTAACCTGGTTGCCTTAAAATTTTAAGTTCATTGAAGTGGAAAAAATTTAGTTAATACAATGAAGGAGATTGATTTAATCATCAGAAACTCAAAATATTATGTTATCTGAACTACATAAATTATCTAAGTTGATTTGACAAAATTTTGTGATTACAAATCATGAAAATATTTAACAGTGGTTAAAATGTTTTGTGATTTGTTTGAATAAATAACTCAAATCAGTCATTTTCACCAAACTCACACTTGTCAGTCATGATTTGTAATCTTTATTAACTCCATTGTATATAATGCTTTGTCAATACAGAAATAAATTCTGTTTTATTTAAATGTGCCACTTCTACATACATTTTAAGATGTACTTCACACAAATAAAATATTTATTTATTAAATTTTTATTTATTTATTATTTATAATTATTTATTTATTTATAATTATTTATTTATTTATTTATTTATTTATTTATTTATTTATTTATTTATTTATTTATTATTACTTTTATATTCCATACTACCATACCTCAAGTTTGGGGTTGGTAAGTTTTTTTAATATGTTTTTCAAAGAAGGTTGCATTAAAAATCCAGTAAAAGCAAATGTAATGTGGTGCTCAAGAAACATTTCTTATTAGTATCACATTGTGCTGCTTAATATTTTTGTGGAAACCGTTAATGGAAAGTTAAAAAGAACAGCATTTACTGTATTTGAAATATAAATCTTTTGTAGCATTACAAATGTATTTACCATGACGTTTGATCAATTTAATGCATCCTTGCTGAATAAAAGTATTAGCATGACTGACAACGTGCAACCCAGCTGTCAAAATGACAAATAATAATTATTTCTAGGTACTTTCTCAAGTCATCTCCTTCCTTAAAAACTGAGATTGTGGAAGTGATTCTGATTCCGTCTCCATTACTCATTCTTTCCCTCTTTTTCCATCCCAGGGCAGTGACAGCGAATACGAGGTGGACCCCAACCGGCAAAAGACCCATTCGTTTGTCAACCACTACATCAGCGACCCTACCTACTACAACTCCTGGCGCAGACAGCAGAAGGGAATCTCCCGAGCGCAGGCCTACAACTACACCGAGTCCGAGTCCGGAGAGCCCGAACACTGCGCCCCTCCGCCCCCTCTGCCACCTCTGCCCCCTCTACCCCCGTTCCCCCCACAGCTCAGTTCCCCTACGCCCCAAAGCCAGTCCCAGACTGGCAGCCTTTTTAGACCGAAGGGCAGCCGGACTCCCACTCCATCCCAGCAGAGCTCCAACCCGCCCAGTCAGCACGGCACACTTTACCGGCCCCCGAGCAGCTTGGCCCCTGGCTCCCGGGCCCCCATCGCCGGCTTCTCCTCCTTTGTTTGACAGAATGAAGATATCGGTACATGGAAACACCAAACGAAGGCAGGGGGAGGGGGGATCTCTTGTTTTCCCAAACGCCTGGTCAAACTCACAGAACAACAACAAACATCAGCCCTAGATCTGTTGTGCTTTACTTGTCATCGCAAGCTCATTTTTATTTTTGTATTCCTCCTTTGATCACAGTTTATTTTTCGTTCAGGTTTTTTTGTTTTCTTTCTCTGCTAATGTGTGTTTTCAGTGTGTTTCACTCACAATGAAAGACAATCACTTGGAAAGACACGTAAACACATCCGTGAGCTTCGTTTGTTTCGCTTTGGGTTGATTTTGTTGTGCTGCCTCAACAAACTGCATGGCTTTTTTTTTTTTTGGTTCAAACCATTCTTTTTGTTTGCTTTTTCATTTTGTTGATATTGGTTCTTTTGTTTTATCGAGTTCCACAAAAGTGTACAATACAAAACTAAGATATGAATGCTGGACAGAAGCACCAACACGCAACAGGCTATGGAGTAAATCTCAGCATTTGGATCACCAGCGGTGACTAACATCTATTAAAACGCATCTATTTTTTTTTTTTACTGTGGTATTTTTGTTCTTAAACAGATGACATAGTACTTTGGTGATTATGAGAGGTTAAAGTTCATTCGACTAGAGACTATGATCTGATAAAGACCCGCCTGCTCTTAGCACGTTTGAGTTGGAAAGCCAGCATCATTTATTGATGTCACAGTTCAGTTTTAACCAGTGTTCTAAAAAGGCCAAAGGTCATATTAAGTGCTTAATGCTAATCTGTGTTTTGAATGTTTTTTTTTTTCCCAGATGTGAAATGTAGATTGCGCGAGTATATTTGCCGTGTGAAACTGATAGATGAAAGGCCAAATATGTAAGAATCTGATTTACTATGATGTTATTGTCCTATTGCTCTGGATTGATTCAGATTCAGAGGATTCGTGTCAGCAGCGGGTGTGTACTGTATGTGTGTGTTACTTGGTGGGCGGGGTCATTTGTTGCTCCTTTTGATTTGACTCTATGATGTCATCCTGAGCTTCAGGTTGCACTTCCGCCGTGCAACCGGTAACATCCGACACAAACGTAAAATAAACAGCGGTGTATATGAGACATTTGCCAGCATCTCAGGCGGAGCTGGAAGTCAAACGTACCCATTAAAGAGTTCCTGTTCACACCGATTTTCACTTTACATGACTCTGCCAGTGATGTCATCTTCGCCGTTCACATAGATCATCTGGCAACACGTGACATCATAGGAGCAGATGACATTTTCAAAGATTGTGCAACCAAGCAAATGTATTGTACCTGTGAACTTCAGACCATGGATTTTCACCACTTCGCTTTGACGCGGCTGTTCAAAGTTACTGAAGATAAAAGAAAACCAACTAAGGGACCCGGCACCACGCCAGCAGGGAACTGAACGGCACTTGCAACAGCTTACTTGTGAGGTTTAACGATGTTGTTTGCTTTTTCCTTTCCGTGAAGTGATTTTACTGTCTGTATAAACAAGGTCAATCACATGCTCAGTCTGCCTGAACACAGTATATTCCTAAATAAATTATGTTTTCTGCAAAAGTTAGTGGATTGAACATTGAAAATGGTCCATGTCTGAAAAGGGAGCATTCGTGAGTGACTGACGGAGGAGAAGACGTGTGTAATGATAAGTGAAAGTGTCCTTAAACTTATATTGTTATTTTTTTTTTGGAGCAACTGAAGACAAGAAGTAATTTAAAGGTTTTTTGACCTGAATTTCAATTTTATCTTTGCTGATCGAGCTTATAAACCAACATAGTCATATAAAGCTGGTCAATCTTTCCAATGAAACTTGTAGAGCTGTCAAACGATTAATCGCGATTAATCGCATCCAAAATAAAAGTTTGTGTTTACATAATATATGTGGATGCACTGTGCATAATTATTTTGTACACATACTGTATAAATACACACACATGCATGTATATTTAAGAAAAAAAATTATTATTTATATAGAAAATATTTATATTTACATATCATAAATTATATGTAAATCTATATTCAGTAGCCCATATACGTGAAAATATATACATGCATGTATGTGTATTTATATATATAATTATACACAGCGCACCCACATATATTATGTAAACACGGACTTTTATTTTGGATGCGATTAATAGCGATTAATCGTTTGACAGCCCTAGAAACTTGTTGACTAGTTGCTAGTTAAAGACACCACCATACCAGAATCCACAATGCAACAGATTTTTTTCTTTTCAGATGGGACATTACTCTATATTAAAGATATGGTCTGATTGGTTGTGAATGTAGGGTGTTATGCTGTGTTATCGGTTTCATTGTGGGCAAATTTGTAGCTGGGGTTTTGTCGCGCCTGTTTAAGACAGCTGAGCCAATTTTAGGGATAACTTCAATCTGATGAGGTGAGATTCATTTGGCTTAAGGTGTGCTTCAAACAGGTGAGGAAAATTTTAGGTTAGTACAGGCTTAAATACTAGCTTTATCGGATAAAGGGACTGGAATGACCACATGAGTGGATGACTGTAATTTTGCTAGGTTGGACATGTTCCTGCATTGACATCATTTGTTGGTCCTGGAAAGACATTCAGGTCCAACAAAACTCTAATGGGAACATGCTTGCATTACATTGGCCAAGTCTGCAATTGCATGCTTAACTTTCTGACTTCACTTTAACCATAAAATCTGGATAGGATGAACAAGGATGTTCTACTTCTGGGTCCTACTTGGCAAAATCACAGTCACAGAATGTGTGTGTGCAATTATTTTATACTTTTGCATACTTGCTTACTTTAGGTGTTGCAATGTTTAAAAGTCCATCTTCATCTTCTATTGAACATCATCTGTTGCTCTCCTTGGTTTAATGCATGCTGATAAACCGACCTGTGGAATCCTGTCCAGCATCTGTTGTCTCCAGCCAGTTTGCAGTCACACTGATCTCTCAAGTTCAGAGGTAATAAAGACAATCAGCTACGATTCAATTTAAACTTTGATTATGTTAAAGATAATGTGCATGTATTTATCCATCTCCATTATTTTGAATCTTTTTTTATCCTGTGCCGTCAAAAAACACACTTTCTTTGTGACTGCTGCATATGTGATATGAACTCTTTCTTGTTTCTCCCTTTCTCTATTTTCCATCTGAAGTGTGGCGAGAGTGAGACAGAAAACCCCGCATTTATAGGTTAATGATGTCAGAGGCAGAACAGGACAGGAATGTGTCTAAATGTAGGGAGATTCCACATCATACTCATCCCAGTTTTCGTCCTAATAAAACTAAATACAGCAGAGGGTATAACAGAGTATAATGATATAACAGAGTAATGGCTACAAAATGGGGTTTCACTTTATTTCGATGGTCCTTTTAACACACTCTGTTGACTAACGTTGCACCTACAGTACATGTCTACTAAATCCAACCCGATCTCACGGCAATTCGTAAGAATTTTACGAGGTGGCTAATTCGTAACAATTCGTACGACCTCACTCGTTCGAATTAGTATGATTTTTGTTAAATCGAACATATTTTTACGAGTTGGCCAATTCGTAACAATTCGTATGACCTTACTCGTACGAATTAGTACGATTTTTGCTAAATCGTACGTATTTTGCGAGGTGGCTAATTCGTAACAATTTGTACGCCCTCACTTGTACGAATTAGTACGATTTTTGCTAAATCGTACGAATTAGTAGGGATTTTTGCTAAATCGTATATTTTATGAGTTGGCCAATTCGTAACAATTCGTACAACCTCACTCGTGCGAATTAGTAAGATTTTTGATAAATCGTACTATTTTACGTGGTGGCTGATTCGTAACAATTCGTACGCCCTCACTCGTAGGAATAAGTAAGATTTTTGCTAAATCGTACATATTTTACGAGTTGGCCAATTCGTAACAATTCATATGACCTTACTCGTACGAATTAGTAAGATTTTTTGCTAAATCGTACGGATTTTACGAGGTGGCTAATTCGTAACAATTTGTACGTCCTCACTTGTACAAATTAGTAAGATTTTTGCTAAATCGTACGAATTAGTAAGATTTTTGCTAAATCGTACATATTTTAAGAGTTGGCCAATTCGTAACAATTCGTACGACCTCACTCGTACGAATTAGTAAGATTTTTGCTAAATCGTACATATTTTACGAGTTGGCCAATTCGTATGTATTCGTACGAATGACCTACCCCTGACCCTGCCCCTAAACCTACCCATCACGTGGGTTTAGACAAATTGTACGAGTGAGGTTGTATGAATTAGTACGAATTAGCCACTTTTTAATCACTCGTACGAATTCGTAAATTTGTACGAATTGGTCGTGAGATAGAGTTGCTAACTCTCATTAGAGTGTTAGTAGAGTATTAGTTGGGTTAGGGTTAGAATAAGTTGAAATGTACTTATTTTAAACGTAGTTATTTTTTAGTCAGTAGAATGTCTGTTTGAGGACCATCACAATAAAGTGTTAGTAGATATTAAGCAGACAGTCTATTAATACTCCAATGAGAGTTAGTTGCAAAGTTACTTTAGAATTAAGAAGGTAAAAAGTAGGTTAGCAGAATGTTCAAAAGGAACCATCAAAATATAGTGTTACCAAAAAGGGTCTTAAAAGCACACTTGATGGAGGAACTTGTTTTAAAAGTGTGAGGGAAAATTCTTCATGTTTTTCACCATAACAAAGGTCAAATCAAAGACAGGTGTTGCTGAGCTCTACCTGAAGTCAAAATGGCTTTTGACAGATAAATGATTAATGTGCACCAGCCGAACAGATATAAATGGAAAATTCATTATATAATCTTGGGTTATATAAGAGTCGTGACTGCTTGTCTTGGAGTTTACAGGCTTTGAACGCCATGGGTTTAGATGTTAGTCTAAACTGAAAGAAATCATCTGAACATATGACTTGATATATCTATAAAAAACAACAGATTGTTGTTGTTTTTGCTTAAAGTAGTCCATTCATGAGGCCCCAGTACGTGGATGCTAATTCCAAATGCAGTTAGCAGTTAGCAACCCCTCCACCATCTGGAATACAGCTCATAATGTTTTATTCAAAGGTGCTAGTGAAGCTCTGCAGTTGTTTCTTGTTTGAAACACCTGCCCTTACTTCCTATTTGCGGTTACTTCTTTGAATTTTTTATTAATCTAATTATGTTATTTTCCTCTTCCACAAAACGATAATATGCACCATGCCAAGATCAAATGGTTGGATAAATGCTTTTGATATTGATTATAGGGTGGCACTGGATATGAGCCCATTGATCTGCACCATAAAGAGCACGTCAGGAAGTAATCACCTGTTTGAAAAGTTATGGGAAGTTTGTTGAGCACTTTGGCGGTTTTTTTTTTTATTAGCAGGTTCGAAGGGAGAATGACTTGTAAATGTGTAGTGGTTTTACAGTTTTATTATACATAAAAGTATTCCAAATCCATCATAAGTTCATAAACTTTAAGTGGGCCATTTGGTTTTCTGAAATATTCACCCTCTTACTTTAAAGGTATTGGTTCATTTGAAAGTTGTTTTGTTTGTTTTTAGTTTTTTTTGACATGGTAGCATGAAGTTTTAACATCCACTCTCGTGTAATGGAAATCATGACTGTGTGTGTGTGTGTGTGTTGTGTTGTACGAAATAAGCTTATATTTATTTAGCCTCTCTGTGTAGAACTTAAACCAAAATATGTGTTTTGAAAGTAAAGAGCTAAAATGAAGGTTTATTTAGATGTACATATTTAGATTATTTTTTATCATGTTGATAATTTGCCATTATGAGCGCTAGAATGCTATGTCACTATGAATCACACAGCTGAAGAGGATGTATGTGGTTGAGTATGTCACATTTGTTTAGTGTGGTTTACATCATTCCTTTTGGTAACTAACCAGGGTCGTAATAAAACAGAACTTAATTATTCTCAGACAAAAGATGATCACAGACACTTTTATAAAGACATCTGGTTGCCTTTTTTTTATATATATATAATATTTATAGATAATATTGGTTAATTTTAAATGTTTATTTTTGTGTATGTATAGCCTAAATGAACACAAATGATGATAAAAAAATATAATAAATAAAATGTGCTTTTAAATTAAATTTAATATACGCCAAAGCCAAACTTAATTTACTTTATTTTACAGTCGTATATTTGGAGGTAAATTTGATACTGGTTCTTTAAAAGGCAATGAGAGACTGAGCTCATCATTGAAAGGGGCGGGGTGTGCGGCAGGGGCGGGGCGTCGTCACTCGTCACACAGTCAGAGGACTGTCTCGAACGCTTGAACCGCATTAGTGCGCCATCGCACATTGAACTACGGTCAGAACGCCAAGACGTGCTCCTCAGGATTAAAGTAATTAACTCGTTTTTTATCACATATAAACGCGTTGCTCCCACATAAAGCTGTTTAAAGGATATCGGGGACATTTGTCAGGCTGAACCTGAGTTGTGTTACACTCTACGGACTCTTTTGTTTGGAGTGTGATTCCATTGAACTTGGTCCATTGTTGTTGGATGAGAAGCTCAACTTGGCGTTGAGGATTCTGGCATCGAATACGACTCTGCAAACAGTGGTAAAAAAAAGCTTTATTATTTATTACATTTGTGCGACCTTTGCTCATATCCCACAAGCTTCCAATCAATGTAAGTTTGGATAGAAGTTCTCTGGGTTAGAAAAAGATACAATGAAGCGTTTGCTCTTCAAGTGTCTTGTATTGAACTCTAGAGGCCATTCAGTCAGAGACTGATATCTCATTCATCTGAATCTCAAATAGACTTATCAAATGTGGTCCCAAAAAATGTATGTTCAGTTTTTTTGAATGTGTCCGTCTCAGACATTCCTCTACTACTGTGTGTTGTTTGCTTTGTGCTGTATATGCAGTGATCATGGTGTTACCCTACATTTTATGCAATAAATAATTTATCAAATGTTTACATTTTGGTAACAAATTATATTAACTTAATAATGTTTATTGATACCTTTTTTATATTTTATACCCAATAATAGATGTGTACATTGAGTTCTGCATAATAGCCTAAATTATATTGATTAAAATGCTGATATTTGCATGTTATTTCCTTAATATCTGGCTTATTGTTTCATGTTTAATGTTTGAAATGTTTGCATTATTTGTCTTTGGATTTTTATCAGCTATGTGTGGTACACTGACCTTCATGGATCTAAATTGTTCTTGTTAAATCAGTTAATCATTACTTTTGTTTTAGAAGCAAAATCATTTTACTCAACAATCTGAATTTCAGATTTCAATCTGGGGCTTTTGTATAGGCTACCAATGCACAAGATTGTGAAAGTGAGTTAGCAGTTAGTTAACCAGTGATCTCTAATGGGGGGCTTTGGCGTGTGCTGCTTGTTGGGATGGCAGGAGACAAGGAGCTTGTGATTTTGAGTCATTAGTATAGTGGTGCTAAATGCCTGGATGCTGCTGTAACAGTGTGCTACTTGTGTCCGGTATGGAGAAAAAGTGTCAGATGAAATGTTATGTAACCACTTCTTAAAAAGTCCACGTTGCAATGAAATAGGAATCCAGTGAAGTATTTATTCCAAGAGCTTCTTGTGAATTTCCAGATGTATTCTCCATATATTGTCCTGAACCTGTTGGCCACATCTGTTGCATAATAAACATTGGTCAGATGGCTGCAGTTTTACAGTTCATTACTCTAATGGCTCAAACTGTTGTTTGCAGAAACCTGGCAAGCGCTCTGGTATTGTTAAAGGTTATCAGAGTGAAATTGATTGACCCTAATGGGTTGTCTCAACAGCACAATCAACTTCAGAGTATCATGGATTGACTTTGTTTTACCTATTTTTGTGTGAATTCATCATCTGCTCCAAGTTGAAATATCTTAATTTGACACCATGTAAATGACTAAATGTAAATCTAAACCTTTTAATTCCTCCATCAGGAACGAATGAATGATTAACACCACAGCTTAAAGGAGTAGCCTAGTTCACTTTAAAAAAAAGAAAAAAGTTTTGCTGATAATTTACTCACCCCCATGTCATCCAAGATGTCTTTCTTTCTTCAGTCGAAAAGAAATGAAGGTTTTTGATGAAAACATTCCAGGATTTTTCTCCATATAGGGTAATTCACTTTACTGGGAACCAAATGGTTCAAGGTCCAAAAGACAGTTTCAGTGCAATCAACAAACTGTTCAAAGGGATTTAAACGATTCCAGATGTTGAATAAGGGTCTTATCAAGTGATACGATCTCTCATTTAAAAAACAAAAAAAACAAAGTTTACATTTTATAAGCTCAAATGGTCGCCTTCCTCTGTTCTGTGATGCGCGTTCGTGACTCTCCTGTTCGAACTCGTTTATCAAAATGAATGACTCTTTTTTCGTGTCATTTGGTTCATTCAACGAACGAATTGACTCGGAAAAAGATTCGTTCATTTTGATGAACGAGTTCCAACAGGAGAGTCACAGAACAGAGCAAGGTGAGCATTTGAGCTTATAAAACTTAAACATTGTTATTATTTTTTTAAATGAGAGATTATTTCGCTTGATAAGACCCTTATTCATAGTTTGGAATCGTTTAAAGCCCTTTGAACAGTTTACAGTTTGCACTGAAACTGTCTTTTGGACCTTGAACCGTTTGGTTCCCCTTGAAGTCCATTAAATGGAGAAAAATCCTGGAATGTTTTCATCAAAAACCTTAATTTATTTTCGACTGAAGAAAGAAAGACATGGACATCTTGGATGACATGGGGGTGAGTAAGTTATCAGCAAAAGCTTTTTTTTTTTAAAGTGAACTACTCCTTTAAGTGAAAGTAATACTATTCTAACGTGAGTGCTGTGTGGTCCAGGGCTTTGACCCTTAACCTTTGACATTTTTATCATTCTTGGTGTCAATATTTGTGAAAGGTGGCATTAGCAACCCTGCCGCCAGTGCTCTGAGGTCAGTGTCTGTTAGAGATGCCTGGATAATATCCTAAACTCATAATGATATTCCAGTTAGGAGAGCCGGCAGGCAGAGATACAGTTCTGGCCTAAATTTTTGCATGGAAGATGTGGGCCAAGGTCAGTATGTGTGTTATAAGGCCAGCCTGCCAGATGGACAGATAAATGCAGTCTGTTCTTTTTTTTTTCTTCCCAAATTTTTCTTTCTTTTTTCGCCTTACAGCCCCATTCTCTCGTGCAACTGCATTTTACACAGAGTAAACTTTCGTCACCACAAAATTAAAATCCAGTAATTATTTTGTCCTCCTCATGTCGTTCCAAATCTTAATGTAGGGCTGCAAGTTTGAGGGAAAAAAAAAAAGAAAAAAAAAAAACTTTCATTGTGATTTCTCTCCCCCCTAAAAAAACAAAAGCTAAAAAGCTCCACATGCTTGTTTGTATTCTAAATTGTGATAATATAACAAATCTTGTATTTCACGTTGACTTGAAATGCAGCAGCCTCTTGCTTGGTGCTTATGTGTGTACAGCTTGAGTGTGTGTGGATGGATCTGTAGTAATACAGCTGGCTGCTTGCCCACCCACTGCTGCTGTGATGTGTGTGCGTTTGAGAGAGGGGAAGAGACTCACATCAACTGTATTAATAATACTGAGTTTATTGTTTAATCACTATGGTGGCCTTCTTCTTGTGACTCAGCAGAGTCTGTTGTGCTGCTCAGAAAGCCTTATTCCTCTCTGATGTAATCAGCCCAGCTGTCGACACACACACTCACACACTACAGGAGGTCAACATATCTGTGCTCAAAGGACTAAAGTTCAACCTGGGTGGCTTTGAAAGCATAACCTTCCTAAATTTAGCCGACAGGTTTGCGTGTAAGTTGTTCGTTATGGTGGTTACTTAATCATGGTGTTCCTGGCCTTTCTAGATAACAACGTCAACTGAATTTAAACCACATGTTAGGGTGAAGATCAAACTGTAGGCTATAAGATTGAAATGTAAAATATTTCATATTTTATAATACTGGTTGTACTGAAATCATCTTGTATTTAACATAGTTTTCAAAGTTTGGTGTCGTTAAGATTTTTTTCAAATTTCTTTGAAAGGAGGCTCTAATGCTCACCAAGGATGATGCAGTTATTTGATCAAAAATACAGTAAAACCGTATATATTTTTACATTTAAATTAACTTTTTTATTATTTGAATATGCGTTAATGTAATTTATTCCTGCCATGTCAAAGCTGTATTTTCAGCATCATTACTCCAGTCTTCGTTCACATGATCCGTCAAAAATAAATGCTGAGGAAACATTTCTTATTACTATTAATGTGGAAAAAAGTTGTGCTGCTTAATATTTTTGGGAAAACCATGACGCTTGATTGTGTTTTTTTGTTTTTGGATTACGATTTGGCTGTTTTACCATCATTTTTGTTTTATTTGTCTGACGTTCATTGGAATGGACAAAAAAAATTACAATGAAAGCCAAGATTTATTTAATTATTTTCATTTGGTCGCATTTATAGATGCCTCATGAGCTGGGAAATTGTGCTTTTATATTTTTCAGAAACTGGAAACATAATTCAGGTCTGAAGGGGTTAATATTATTGATACAACATTTTCTGAGAAGCACGGCATGCTATTTATTATACAATGATAGGAAATGCCTGCAAGATATTGTTAGCTTTTATGTAGAAGACTTTGCACTTGGGAAAACTGTCCTGCATTCGTATCAGACCACAAGGGAAAGTAAAACTATTTAAACCACGACTCTGTCTTGCCAAGAGTCAATATTTTTGCACTGTCTCCTCTCCTCATGAACTTGAATAAGACGACTCGATCTCCCTGCTTCAAGCCCAGCTGAGGCCTCAGGAATCTGACATACTAGCGTTAGAGAAGCGTATTCGTCTGAAACCAAAACCTCCTGCCGTCCTACAGGCTGACCTCCTCCTGACACCAGGCAATGAGCCAGTTCTTCTTATACCAAGAAGACCAAAGCCCTGAAGCGTTTAGTCCATATACGAATCATGTATGAGCTTTTTAACTTGTTAACTAGTGTAGCTTGCAGTCATTATTAACTGACTTGATATTTTTCTGTGCTGCTGCTGTGTGAAGCTATGATATGGATTCCTGGAAAATAAAAAAAGAAACAAGTTTTAACGTTTTCAAAAAAAACAACAACAAAAAAAAAAACTCAACCAATGGTTAATTGTTGACCAAGATCTTTTAGACATTTATAATGCAGTTCGAGACATCACAGCCTCAGATGGCAATCCCACAGACCTCCCAAAGTTCATAAGAAAATAGCTGAAAAAAAAGCTATTGCAAAACTTCCATTTAGTTACCCAACCATCATTTGGTCACTTTAAATGATGACCTTATTCTGTTTTTGGCTTGAATAAACTTTTAGTTTAGTTTTTTACTTTAGTATCCTTTCTTTGGTTCAAGATGATGACGGTCAAGTTTCAAACTGAGATTCATTGCTTAAGTCCCTCATTTTGGAGATGACAAATTCATGATACTGTGTTGTGTGATAGTGTTGAAAGGTATGAAACCGGTTTAAGTCACTGTAGCAGCTAAAAAGATACACCTTTGAGCAAATGACAGGTAATTTTCTTTGGGTTGAGCCACACATTTTTGGAATGACAGTATCGGCAT